GAGCCCCTTTGCAATCTATTCAGACTGACAGACCATTTCAGTTGGTCTGTACGGACATTACTGAACTTCCGGTTACCTCTCTTGGTACTAGGTATGTGCTTGTGGTACAGGACCATTTTACCAAGTATGTAAACGCCTATGCTATGTCTGACCAAACGGCTGCCACAGTAGCACAGTTACTGTGTGAACTGTATATACCTGAACATGGTGTTCCTGAGGAACTGTTGTCAGATCAGGGACGACAATATGAGTCTGAAATTATTCACACTATTTGTCAGAGAATACAAATGACAAAGAAAAGAACCTCTCCATATCACCCAAGAGGGAATGGTATGGTTGAACGTTTTAATCGAACTCTGAAAGAACAGTTGGCCCAACTCATTCAGGACTACGGAGGCGAGTGGGACCACTACCTCCTGGCTGTAGTACTTTCTTTCAACTCTACTCCTCACTTGAGCACACTCACCATATTTCCTTGCTCATGGATGAGAACCCCGACTACCTGCTAATGTCTATATTTCATCGCCAAAGGTTTCTGATTGCCCACAAAATTATGGATCAGAACTGGCTACATGGATGGACGCTGCTTTTGGGACTGTTCTTCTTCATCGCGAAGAACAAAAACAAAAACGAGAGTATTATTACAACAAAGACACATGGTTTAGGCCTTATGCTTGTGGTAATCTGGTATGGATAGATGATCCCACCACACAACCAAACTGGACTGGTCCATTTAAGATTGTATCTGTGGATGAAAAAGGGCTCCTTCACAAGCTGGTGGATGTTAAATATCCTCAGGCTGCGACCAGAGTCATTCACTATGATCGTTTAAAACCTTATCGTAGCTCCACAGACACATTACCCACAGATGTCTCCCAGTCTGTTTTTCCTCCAAACAGGGACACACTGCCGAGGTACACCGCTTTGTCTGATTCATTGCCCTGGCTTTTTGGCCAAACAGCGGCAGCCCAGACATCAGGAACCGCTAAGTCGTTGCCATCTTCACCTAGGAGCCCAACAGGACTCTTTTCCCATCAGCCTACACAACCACCCCCCAGCTTGCTGCCTTCTGGGGATGCAGTTATTACCAGGTGTGGGCGTACTGTGCGGAAGCCACAACGACTGCTGTTATGAGAAAAATGATCTACAGTTGTTGTTTCATATTACAGGGTGAAAAACTGGTTCATTTAAAACCAAATGTGTTGACAGTTGTTCTTTATAAAGGTCTTATTGTGAGTTTGTGTCCTTGGTTTTGCACCCCCCCACCAGGTGATATGAATTACTGATGTGACAGTCTGGACAGATTCTGCTTTGGTGAAATGATTAATTTTTTTATGTAACAACTTCATTTTGAAATGAGGACATTTCATTTAAAGGGAGAAGTATCTAAGATGATTTACTTTTCCTTTTCAATTAATATGGTTTCATGTGAGATGGGTTATTTGCTGGGGATGCTCCGTGGATGAGTGGGGGCACTGTGCCTTTCAGAGGATATGTTTCTTTCTTCTTCGAGGGTTATTTTCTTCTTCTTTGTTGGGGCTTTTTCTTATGAGGGGGCGGAGATGTTAAGCTGTTCGGGGAGAAAGGTTGAATAAAAAGTCTGCACAGTACGCTATTCCCTCTCAGTGTCTGCTCTTTCTCCACCCATGACCTCCTATTTTATGGTGACACCGATTTAGATCACTATTCAGTGTTACATTATTTTAACTAATATATATTAGCTTCTGTAACAAACAAACAGAATCTTTAAAATATTTAAATCATGCCACAATTTACCACAAATTATTAAATATTATAAGCTAGTATTTCCTCTGGTTTTTGTAATATTTACAGACTAAATTCTCTGCATGAATTGTTTTTTTTTCAAAGTTTTTTTTTATTATTTTTAACAAAAATACAAACAAAAAACAAACTAACAAAAAAAATAGAACACACCCCTAAAAACCCTCCCATCC